AAATCAATCGAATACTCTTGGAGAAAAATTGGAGCTATTGTAATAGGGGGCCTGGAACCTTCCATACCAACCGAATTTTTCGTACTGCATATCTTTGAAAGTATTCATGGTACAGTACTGGAACTTCGTATGGAGATATGTATGTACATGTAAAGCTTCTAGAAGAGATTCACTATAGAACCGGGTCATTTTTGCCGCCAGGGAGTGAAGAGGAAAAAATTCTTCAAACTTATTTCGTTTTGCGAATAACCGTGCTATGAAATGCTGAACAGTTAGAGAATTTCAAGAACTTCATCACGGATATAACACTTTTCTTAGGTTATTTAAAGCGGCAAATGACCACTAAACCTTAACCTTAGCAGAAGAATATTCCAATAAAAATCGTAAACGTGAATTGTTGGTGAAAATGTTGGACCAAAAAGTTTCAATAAAAAATAAAAATTTTGGGCGGGACGGAGTTCGCCGGGTCTGCTATCGGGTCTTATCTTATCTATATATATAAAACTTAAATGTCTTTCGTATGACCCCGATGCCTGACCAAACGACTGAACCGATTTCAATTCTGTAAAAAGGACTTTTTTGGATCTTCTGTGTGGAAGGTTTTTCGATTAAAAAAATTCAAAACTTTTAGTTGTTGTTGCCAAAAAATTAAGAAAGCTGAGGCGTCACGATTTCACAATTTCTTAGAGTTTTACGTATATTGTATGTCACCAACCTAACAAACGGCTGGACCGATTTCGTTCACATTTGGAACATATGTCAGCACCTTGAAGGGAAATATTTCGACTAAAAATTTAATCGCTAGGTGGCACTGGTGTCTGGATATTTTTAAAAACTGTATTTATTAGCATATTTGGAACATTGGTTAGCCAATTGAAAAGGAATATTTGGACTCAAAAATTACATATTCCTGAGGTTCTTATACAGTGGGAGAATAATGGATATCTACACATATACATATGTACGTCACAATAAAAAGTTGAAACCCCTATTTTGAGGGCACCAATATATCTCTTGAACCAACTGCGCTGGGGAACTGATACTAGGCGCGGATGCATAAATTGTAAATACCCTACTTATGGCGAAAATTGGCAGGTATAGGAAAAGGGGGCGTGGAACCTCCCATATAAACTGAACTTCTCATATTGCTTATGTCCCGAACCGCTTATGCTAAAGTCCTGAAATTTGACACAGCTACATATGTTATCAGTATCGCACTTATGGCGAAAAGTGCCAAATATTGGAAAAGGTGCACCCCCATACAAAGTTAGCTTCCCATATCGCCTATTCCTGGAACCGCCTTATGCTAAACGCCCTAAACAGCCACATATGTTATCAATACCTTACTTTCAGAGAAAAGTGGCAGGTATTGGAAAAGGGGGCGTGGCACCTCGCATACAAACTTAACTTTGTCTGACTTAGTAAGACCCAGACTATTAAGACGAATTGTAAAAGTGGCGAATTGACCACGCCCGTCCAAGTAGGGACAGGGTTGGTATATCACTGGCTTCATTTGACTCATTTAGCCAATGTAGGGGAAAACTTTTCACCCTGTTCGGCAGCGAGGATCCTTGGCCCTATTATAACAGAAAACGCTCATCTGTGCTCTTATGTTTCCTTATAAGGACTTATATTGGCACCGCATGTTGTAGTTGCAAGATCAAAGAAGATTATGCACGCTTGGAAGAGATTTCACAGGTGGAAATAAGACCATCGGCAAAATTCATGACATGGAGAGGAATTAGTATTCCATATGGCATCAAAGCGCTACTATTTTTGTAATTTATTTGGGAAAAATAAAACATTTAGATTTTTGTTTGGATTTTCTTTGATATTAAATTTACTATCCCAAAACAATTAATATCAAATAAAACACCTAGTATATTTCAGGACGAATGGATAAGGGTTGATCCAAGAGCTTGTGTGAGCAAATTCGATTTTTGGCAGCAAATGTCAATTACGCGGTTTTGCAGGATGACGATACGCGGTTTTGTACTTTAAACGACGATATACTTAATTAGTGTTTTTCAAGCTATTTTTTTGTTATTTTTTGTAACAATATTGTTCATACCTTAACCAAAATTATATAAATCAAACTTTATAAAATATTTAGAACAAATTCCAACTTTTTAATCTGAATCTTTAAAGCTTTTTTAGTGTAATAAAGTACAAGTTTTAAGCGGCTAAAATATCGCATAGATTTTTTTCGCTGACGGCTTTTTTCATATAACAAGTGCAATTGATAAAAACTGTCGTTGACTTTTTTTTAATTTTTTTGCAAAGACATTTTTCCACAAAAAATTCATGCTTCTATGGGAATAGTACATAACACCGTCAACAAAAAAAAATATTAAAAAATCAATGCGATTTTTAGCCGCTTAAAACTTGCACCTAGTTGACTAAAATTTCATAAGCCATGAATTTATTGAAAATTTTCTAAATTCCGTATAAAGTTTGAATGCTTGATTTATATGTATTTGGTTAATGCATGAACAATATTGTTATAAAAAATAACAAAAAAGATGTAGATTGAAAAACATTGCAAATATTTAAACAAGTAAAGAGCTATAAGTTCGCCCGAAACCCGGTGCACGTATTAAATATCGTTTTTTAACTTCTGTAAACTACATGGGTAGCAAGTTTTAAATTGGCGTACTTAGTTATTGATATATACGTATGTGTTCGTATTTCAAAAATTTACCTTATATTATATATAAGTGAGCGTAATTTTAGTCTGATTTCTTTTTGCGCCAAAGGCATTAACTGTACCGAGTTTCGTAGAAATGTCTTCCTATCTATTTGTTTAATTGTTAGATGACACTTTGTTGTTATTTTTTTTGAAATATATAAATTATTGTGCTTTTTTTGGGCCCACAAAAAAAAATCCCTGAAAATTGTAGCCCTTAGTATTAATATTAAGTGCTCGACCAAGGCAAAGATTTCCCATTTAAAATACAGGTAAACTTTGACTTTTTTCTTCAAAATTCTACAGCTCAGAGGCAATTTATGGTATAATCATAGTCAATGAAGGGGTTTCTTCAGAATTGAATGCTCTACAAAAGTGTCCATTGCGGCGTGACTCTAACTCCCACCAGCGAGGTAGTACGGGTCACTAACCCAGTTTTTTCGAGATTCTCGTTTTTTTGCCCCTATCTCGTAAATAACAAGAGCTACAGAAAAAATGTAAATGACGAACTTGTAGGGCATTCAATATCCTTTGAAGTTGACGCAGTGTGGAATATTCTTGGAAATATCGATGTTAGCGATTTGGTGTTCAAAACTTTTTTGTATGAAATTGAATATACTACAAATTTGTCATATAATTTGTTCTGTAGTTCTTGTTATTTACGAGATAGGAGCAAAAAAGAGAATGTCATGAAAAAATAGGGTTTAGTGATCTGTACTACGCCGCAATAGACACTTTCGTAGAGCATTCAATTCTAAAGAAACCCCATCAAATGACCATGATTATACCATAAAGGCTGTGAGCTATAGAATATTTAAGAAAAAATGTTAAAGTTTACGTGTATTTTAAACGGGAAGTCTTTGCACGCCTGGGTCGAGCACTTAATATTAATGTTAGGGGCTCAAATTTTCAGGGAATTTTTTAGTCACATGCCCTTTATTCGCCCCGATTTGGCTGATTACACATTGCATCTGTTACTTTTCATGTTGTATACTTTTAGAATCCACTGCTTTTTATTTAGAGAATTTTGACGACGAAAATTTAGCGTAGCGATTGTCAGAATCCCACTGCTGGCTATTCTGTTTTGCTTTGCATATGAAACTGCCTATGCATAATAATTCGTAAATATTGTTACAAACAATTACAAACTATTGCGTAAAAAAATAAAACTATTGTCAGTGGTTTTTCTAATTTCGATGTGAATATTCATTTCAATGGAAATGATATTTTTGATTGATTTTTCGATTTAATGTGCTGTACGATAAATTGCATGAATTCAATATTATTTACTACAATTGCTATAACTTTTCTCTTTTCAAACCGATTTGTAAATGGCTTGGGTCTATATTCTTTGAAATTGAATAAGCTTTATTATAACATGAAAACCAAAACAAAAAGTTTGTTCCTTTTGGGTGTAATTTACAGCAGAATAACGATGCAACTTAAAGTTATGCCCGATTTCTCCCATAGATAGATAATTCTTCAAATGACAATCTGATTGGAAAAATTATATAGCAGGGTGATAAGAAATTCGAAAACCTTTAAAGTGGTGGAAAGCTTTTTGGCAAAATCTCAAAACTCAGTCGTTTTTATATATTTTTGATTTTATATTCCGATCCGATCGTTTTTTCCTGAATGCATACGGTTTTCTTAATTATCTAATGCAACGTACAAGGACTTCCTTTTTCGCATGGCAAACGGTATATTTCAATAAAAAGTTGATATAACGAACGATCTAATATACATGCATGCATGTTTCTACTTGAGGACGTTGTGCTTGAGATTGCAACGTGTGTGAGCTCGTTATATAAAGTTGTGGCTTGGTTGTACGAAAGATAAAAAATTTGATTTTTTGGTAAGCTTTACAACTACTCGCAATGTTAAAGGCATGTTCTACAAGCTGCTTATTTTCGTGGTAACCAAAAAGCAAAAAACAATGTGTTTCAAGTTTTATTTGTCCACAAAATAACGCAAAATAGAAGAATCAGCCAAAATGCGTGATTTTGTTGAATTTGAAGATGTATACCGAAACTATGGAATTTTTAAAATGAGTTTGTACGAAAAAACTTAACGTTCGTGGGCAAAACGTCCAACTTGATTGCGAACCAAGTTAAACCAAGGGTCGAGTGTATATGACTTGCAAGAGCTTGAAGTTCACTCTATCACTTATGCTCCAAATTGCTATATGTACATAAGTAATATATAATTTAGTCTCATGTCAATTAGCGCTAAGCAAAATGGTAGTTTTTGTGCCAATAAACATTACGGAGTGAGTAAATTAGGTAATAAACGACGGCTTCTTATTTCATTGCAGGCAGTATGACATCTGACTTTTTTCGTGTGGTTAATGAGGCTCGCCGTCATTCGCTCGGACCTTTCAGTCCCTCATTTAATATACAAACTTGCTTGTTTGAAGGTTTACAAAAGCATTTGCCAGAGGATGCGCATAAACGGGTCAATGGGCGCTTACATATTTCGTTAACGCGAGTTCATGATGGTAAAAATGTCATCGTTTCCGAATTCAATTCGCGCGATGAACTCTTGCAAGCTTTGCTGTGCGCCTGCTTCATTCCAGGCTTCTCAGGCATATTCCCACCTCGGTTTCGTGGAGTGCGGTATATGGATGGAGCTTTTTCAGACAACTTGCCAATTCTGGATGAGAACACAATTACTGTAAGCCCCTTCTGTGGTGAGAGTGATATTTGTCCACGTGATCAAAGTTCTCAACTCTTCCATTTGAATTGGGCTAATACCAGCATTGAAATATCTCGGCAGAATGTTAATCGTTTCGTCCGAATTTTGTTTCCACCGCGGCCGGAATTTCTTTCGAAATTCTGTCAGCAAGGGTTCGACGATGCAATGCAGTTCCTTCATCGTAATAATTTAATAAATTGTCGTCGTTGTGTAGCTGTGCAATCGACATTTGTAGTATCAGAGACAGTGGCACAACCTCAGGACTTTGATCCTGAATGCAGAGAATGCAAAAAGCATAGAAATGTAAGTATAAGATAATAACCGAGCGCTTAATATTTCCTCTATATTATTGTCCGGATAATTTTAGGACGCTTTAAGCTCAAACATGCCACAGACTGTATTGGATGTCATTCAAGATTATATCGAACAAGCTAATAAAGGCTTGGCCAATTGGATATTTAAGCACCGAGGAATAAAACTGCTGTCCCTGCCAGCAACAGTACCTATGGATTTCTTCTTGGCCACAGTATCGAAGTGAGTTCTATTACCTATTGTTCTCTTTTTGGTTGTTTGTGTATCGGACAGAATAGGTCTATGATCTATTTCGCAACGAATTACCGTCATTCTTTGTTAAATTTGGTTTGGAGTAGAGATGTGCACGTGAGGTTTTGGCACGCATTCATGCGGATGTTTTAAAAATCAACAACTTTTGGTTTTAAAGGGTGAACACACCAAAACTGCGACACTTAGAAATTACTACCAGAAACAAACTAGAAGGCTTTGAAATTATTATTTTTTTTATTATATAACTTGGAAGTTTAGATGTTATTAAAATGTTAAAATATTAGTTATTATTTGCTCCATATGCAAGTGATCGGTAATTTCATCGCACACGCGCCATCATGTTCTGCACGACTGCATCATCGACATTACGCGATGCGCACAACTACTTTGTTTTGCACTCTTCAATAATTTTCACTCTTTCACCTGTTTTCTTCAAGATTCCTTTGACAATTGAGCAATATTCCCCAATAGGGCGTGGCTCTGGGCTATTGGGTGGATTGCAGTCGTGAGGTACAAAATTGATGTTATTTGCATTATACCACGGCAATGTGTCCTTGTGTTCTAGTGCCACTATACTTTGCCATGTCCGCCTAGAACGATGGCCTACTCCTTATCTGTTGATAAATGACAGAAGACGCCTTTTGAGGCACTCATCCCGATAATCTTGATCATTCATTGTCCCGGATGGGAAAAAAGGGCAGCTCTTACGGCCGCAGGAACAAATAGCTTGCCAAACCATGTGGTTTTTGGAAATTTGGACTTCATTTTCAGCTTACAACTTTCAGGGGCATCTTGACGACTTGCAGCAGTATAAAAATCATGACCTGCAATATATTTTGAATTCTTTTAGCAGTAGGTTTCGCAGTCCATAACAATGCAGTTGTATTTTTTAATTTAGAATTCATACAACTTCCGAATGCGGGATTTCGCTGTAACATTCTACTTTGCGCCTCGGTCTGGCGCTGTTTGAGCTGTAGAACATCTCAATGAAGCTTTCCGCTTTACCTTTTGTACGAAAAACTGCGATCTCCGTACGGATTTTGCAACATAACGCTACAAAATCTTCGGATCTCGCGAAAACGCACTGAGGACCTTCGGAGCACTGTTTTTATCACTTTGACCATGCTAACCCCCGCTCCCTGGTTTTCTCGTAACTGTCAGGCCTTATTTGTACCGATTAAAACCCTGCAAACTGTCGAATAGTGCACTCTTTAATTTTTTAGCAAGTTTACGTGTACTTAAGGCCGGATCATTTATAAACTCGTGCAAAATGGTTTGTCTCGTTTCTAGCTCGGTTGCCATTTTTAACTCAACTAGGAATCAAATTCAAATGAAATTTCTTCTACGTTCATCTAAGGTCTTGGTCAACTTATGGTATTTGAATTTCAAAATATTGAATTCGTTTTGGGTAAGTTATAAGCTTCCCAAAGTGTCGCAGTTTTGGTGTGTTCACCCTTTATGCGAACTAATCTCGTATACAGGGTTAGAAAAAACATGTTTCAAACAAGTTTTTCATAAATGTTTTAATTTACATGTTTTAAACATATTTAAACATTGTTTTAAACACTTTCAATAATTCAATACTTTTGAAATTAAGGGTGGGTAGAAATCAAATCCATCGAAGAACTCATAAAATATCTATTAGAAATCAATAATAATAATAATGTTTACCATTAAAATTAACGTTATCTCTATAATATAAATACGCCACAAGAAAATTTAGCAATCCCTTTTCGGAAGGCACCGTTCGCTCAATTTCAATGAAACATACACCGATTTAAAGGATATAACTTGCTCTAATCCAGAAATGTTAATCCCGATACATTAAGGGCGTGGCATGTGACATATAGACTAAAATGTGAAAACCACTATATCTCTAAAACCAATTATGCTGAAGAACTGAAACTTAGCACAGATGCATAGATTGTAAATACCCTACTTACGGTGAAAAATGATAGGTACTGGAAAAGTGGGCGTGGCACTTCCCATACAAAGTGAAATTCTCATATCGCTTATCTCTGGAACCACTTATGCTAACGTCCTGAAATTGGACACACTAACTTATGTTGTCAATACCGTACTTACGGCGAAAAGTGGTCGATTTTGGAAAAGGGGGCGTGACACCGCCCATAAAAACTGAAATTCTCATATCGCTTATCCTGCAACTGCTTATGATACCGTGCTGAAATTTTACACAGCAACTATGCTATCAATGCCGTACTTACGGTGAAAAGTGGTAGATAATGGAAAAGGCACCGCCCATACAAACTGAAATTCTCCTATCGCATACCTCTGAAACCGCTAATGCCAACGTCCTGAAATGTGACACAGCCACATATGCTATCAATACCGTACTTATGGCGAAAAGCGGTAGGTATTGAAAAAGGGGGCGAGGCACCTCCCATACAAGCTGAAATTCTCATTTCGCTCATCTGTGTATCCGCTTATGCTGACGTTCTGAGATTGTACGCAGCTGCATATGTTATCAATACCGAACCGAAATGCAAATTCCATATCACTTATATCTGGAACCATATATGATAAGGTAATGGAATTTGATACACCTACATCTATAATATAAAACGGCAAGAATCATTCAATTGGAACCATTTTCTACCAGATTTCTAAATCGCATTGAATGATTGTTGGATCAGTGTGTGGCGCAGAGATTGAGAGTAGAGATGGGCATGGGACTAAATATTAAGTCTCGATCCCGCCTATCCCCAAATTCAATTTTTAACTTTCGAACCGGCCCATCCCGACGTTTTTCAGAATTGTACCGCGGGCCCGGGGGCCCCGCAAGTCTTGCTAATTAATTTTAAACAAAATAAATTGTATGGAAGATCTGGAATCCTTCGATTATTTTGTTTTGCTTTGTTGTTCGTTTTCGCCTTAATAAAACATAAAAGGGTCATTTTTCATGCAAATTTTTTAAGTAAGATTTTCTTAATTTTCGGAGGTTGCGGTTTTATCGGCAGTAGCGGGAGAAGATTTTTGGTTCAATATTGGTGATAAGCAAAATTTAAAAGTGTATGAAAAAATGTCGAATTTCGACAACTGGGCGATACTAGTATAAATAAAAAAGTAGTCTTGTTTATTTATTAGATTGTGCTAGTACTCACAGTCATCGTACAGTTCCATAAGTAACATAAGTCTTCTTCTTACCATTTTTTTTTGGCATCTGTGTCTTTGGTTCAGTGTGTTAGAGTATTTTGAATAAATTGTAATGGAAATGGAAGAAATTGTAATAGAAAAGAAAGAAATTGTAAAAGATAAGAGCAAATGCCAAAAAACAGGTGATCTGAGCTGTATGCGTTTTTCCTTAGGAAACTGTACGATGCTGACAGTACCATGGTGAAATATACCTCATTCATTCATGTTTAACGTTTTAATTTTGTTATTGTCACAATTTAACTCAAACGTATTCAGCCTTCATCCCAGTGCACGGACTTCACCACTTTATTGGTAGATCTCCCAACTTTTTAGCTATATTATATTTTCTACCATTTTTACCAACAAAAGCTAACAATCAACCAATATTTTTCGGAAAGAAAGCAGAGAGATCGCAGTGTGAGTGTATGTCCATATTTTGTCATCGGACACATCTTAAATAAAAATTA